GAATGTGTATATATGTAAGTATCATAGTACAATTTGTTGATTATCATTGTAAATAAAAAAAAACAAGCTAAAAGCGTAAATTACTTTTATGCGTGAAATTATAAGCAAAAAAAAAACTGACTGATTTTGTACTTGAATTGCGTTAATTTCTCGATTGATATTTGCTTAATTATTTTACCAGTTTTAATTTACTAAATTTCGTCATACTAATTTACTGTACAAAGTTCTAAGTTTTAAATATGTATTAAAATTGAGACGACAGCAATAATTTACAAGTTTTAAGTATTTAAATAAGTATTTGAAATAAATTTTACGATTTGCCGATTTGTAATATATTGCAAATAATTTCTCACTCACAATTTTCTTTATTACTTATATTAATATTATGTACTTAAGGTATAAACATGCGTACGTGCATACATATATATGTCTGTCATTCATAAGTACTTAAATTTGAAATAATATTACATATACATATATTTTAAAGTCGTTTCATTAGCCGTCAACCCGATCAACGTTCTTTCATTGACAAAACGGGAAAAAACATTTTCAAATTTGTTAAGTAGAAAATAAGAGGAAGAAGAGGTAGTCAGAATTACAATTTGAAAAATTAAATAAGAGAGTTAATAATGAAGTTAAATTTTAAATATAAATATGGAAAAAAAATAAATTGAAAAAAAAAATTTTTATTTTTAAATCATACGCGATTTTTTCTTTTGTTATTTTTTTTTTTTGTTACCAAATATTTTATTTAACTACTAGATAGAAAAATGAGCTTAGAATTAATAATGATTTCGATTACGGGAAATTGATATCATAAATAGCCTTTACATTTATGTATGTACGTGTCCATTGTACCTTTAAATCGGAAATTTAAAATTATATAGAAAAATTGTTGTAAATTACACTTTGTTCTGACGTAAATAAAAGGAAGTGACTAAATTACAACTTTCTCATTCGAATTTCAATAAATATTATTTAATATAAAAATTTTATAAAAAAAATTTATAATTCATACATACATATGTACATTATCTATTAATTTAAAATCATGTACTTATCCAATTAAATATACATACGTATATACAAATGTTTGCAAGCATAAGTACTTAGTTAAGTTTTTGATAATTTTGAAAGTCTTCCATTTTCATTGCTAAGAAATAAGCATAAATTCATACTATATTTTTCACGCAATTTGGTAAGCTGGGTTTAGCACGATTTGAAAATAATTAGAGGATATAGTCGAGGTATTAGGGATAAATATCAAAAAAGGCCGGTTGTTATTGAAAATATCCAAAACATATTCTTATACAAGAAGTTTTGAGCCAAAATTTTATTTAAGTGTTGATAATTCTACCAACACTTTATGTTAACACTTTATCGACCGGTAGCCTATTTATCGGCTTTTGTAAAATACAAAATAAAGTATAAATATGAATAAAATTCCATTACTTTAACACACAAAAGGAATAGGCACAACACAATGCGTAGTGAAAATTTAGCCGGTATTGGAGTAAATTCGGGCGCGACTTAGCCGGTACTTACTAAATGGCAGTCTCAACCACAACCGGTTTATAAAGTATTAATTAAGAAAAATGTAATAAAGTTGGCCAATTGTGCAAACAAAAACTAGTTTTTTCAAAATCAGACGTAAACATTAAAACTATTGTTGCATTGTTTCTGCTTACTTGGGCAATTTTTTTTAAAACTGATTTTATAGCAAATTTATTTTTTATCATTAACGTAGAATTTTCATAGAAAATTATGAAATTTTTTAAAAAAATTTCTAATAATTTTTTAATTTGTTTTTGAAAACTGATTTAATTTTAAATTTGGATTTTTGGAGCACATTAAGAATATGCGTGTTTTAAAACAAAATAATGTTTTATAGATATATGTAAGATTTCCATTCATACAAAAATTCATTGCATAAAAAAATTTTAAACATGACAGCTACTTAAAACATCAATCAGTTTATTGAAGAATTAAAATATCTAAAATCTATCAAAGGGAATTGAAAATTTTGATTTTCAATTCAGTCACAAGTCTAATCTTAATTAATTATAACTTGCATATACAATAGAAACATAATTACATATATATACATTTTTATATATGTATGTATATACTGCTTTATTTATTGCATTAACAATTTAAATTTCGTTTGTGTACACAATCTTATTTATGCTCTAACTTACATATAGATACCTACATATGTATGTATATAAGTATATTTAATTCAGACGTGCAACATTTTGGAGGTTAAATCTGTTTTAAAAATCATAACATAACTAAATAAATATATGTATGTTTATAAACTTACAAATAGTTTTAGTAAATATTAACATGACTTTGAAAAGTTTTTTCTGTTCTTTTTTAAAATAATAAAGAAATATCTTACAAGGAAATCAAAATAACACTTACAAAATTATCATTGATTTATTTATGGGAATATCAAAGGAAATCAATTGATTTTTATATCATTAACGAACTCATTACCACATCAATCAAAATGTTTAATTAATATATAAAATAATTATAATAATTTGATTAATAAAGAATAATGTCAAGTCAGTTTCTCGATTGTTGTATTCTTATGAATTCAATCTATTCCAGTCTAACTTATTACTAGGCTGTTAATTAAAAAATATTGCAATATTAAGTATTCGGGAACAATTTGAAGCAGTATTCTCTTTAAAACAGTGAATCATTGCTACAGATAGAATGCACAAATATTTAAAACTGAATGTTGTCGCTTTATTCACCATATATGGTTATCTTGTATTCGATTTGCTTCAATGTTAAGTTCATAAATTTATTTTAGAAAAAGTGAGTTAATTTTAATATACTTAGTTTAATTAGGTTAAAAAAAATGTTTTTTTATTTTCTAATTCAAATTTTGAGAAGAACCTTTGTAAGAATGCATTGCTCTTAATTTCTTATATAAGAGTCATAACGAATATTGGTGAAAGTGGTGAAGCCAAAATGGTCAATTGAATGTAATAACTAATAACAATCATATACTGCAATAAGTTAGCAAAATACTTAAGTATATGAATTTGGGATTTTGCTTAAAACAAATTAATCACATAAAACGTAAAAGAGACGTATTAAAATTAATTTTTTAAAATTGCATTAAAATATTTTTCTCTGTTTTATTATTTCAGGTCATTCATATCGGTATTTATTTTCAAAGAAAATCCTCCAATTTCTTCTAAAATTTCATTAAAAATGGAAAAATTACCGTACATATACACATAATCAGGGTCTTTTTCCTTTCATAAATTAAATAAATACTAAGGGTAATGATACATAGTTCAAATACTCGTACAATAAGTAAAGTATATACAGGCACTTATGAATAAATATGTAAAAATATTTATATTCACTCTTTCAAGTGATGTCTGTATACATGATTATGTATATTTATTTTTGTAAAAGTGAAATTTAATATTTCAATATGCACAAATGTAAATAAAATATTTGCCCTATTGAAAATAAGCTTTATTCTCAAATACATAGGTACCCCAAGTCATTTTAAATATCACACTATACATTAGCACTAAAATTATAAAAATGAGTAAATAAATAGCTTTCTAACTAGTTACTATTTATTCTCGCCTCACTTTTATTCGTCTCACCTATGCATGTATAAAAATAAAGTAAATTTTTAATAAATTCTCCCTTAATAACATCATTTTTTTTTATTATTTTATAACAGAACAATAAACAAAATGCAGATGTAAAACGTGATTTAATAATTTTTAATAATAAGTGTAAGAAAAATAAGTAAAGCTAGACAAGAAACAAAATGTAAAATAGGAAAAGCTGTAAAAAAAATAAAAATAAAGAATTTGTAAATTAGCAAATAAAAAATTTTAAAATGTCTAAAAGGAGAAGCATCAGTAATATTTTCTTTTCAAAAAATAGTTAGGTATTTATAGGTACATATGTATACATCGGAATGTGCTGAAGAGAGTGCTGCTGAAAGAGAAATGTAGATATGCAAAATGCAAGATAATAATATATATTAGCTTTTAAAAAATTATAATAGCCACACAACAAGATTAAAAATAAAAATAACTTTTTAGAATATCAAAGGTAATTTTTGTATGCTAGTAATTTATGTAAGTAGGCATTTGTGCAAGTACAATTAAAGCCTTCTATATATGTACATATATGTATGTATCGTAAAAAAAATCACTTAAAAATATTCTAAAATGTTATTTTTACTTTATTTTTTTAATTTCACTTTTAATACTTTTAAAATGTTAAAATAGTAAAGTAAAATCATTAGTTTAGTAGAAAAAATACATTATTTTTATTATTATTTTATAGTGCACAGGTAGGTACAATGACAAAAACAAATTTATATTTAATGCATTACTTAATATAAAGTAAGTATATTATTTGAATATTTTATGGGCCTTTATAATAAATATGTATGTATACAGTGAATTCTCGATAATTTGAATCAAATAGAAAACTTTATTCATTTCATAAAAATTTTACTTCTGTTATTTCTCCCAAAAGTTTAGCTTTTCCGCCAAATTTAAAAAGTGGGACTAAAATACCAATTGGTTTGGAATATCTTTTAACAAATCACACTATAATACATGTTGTTAAAAAATTCAACTACTTCCATTGTGTGTCCTATGTATACTTTAACTGCTGTTCGCTAACGGTTAAACAAAATCATTTGACTAAGAAATTGTATTAGAAAATGAATTAAATGTTACTTTTCATTTTCTTAATTTGATATGTAAGTATGTATGTATGTAGGTACCTAATTGATTTTTAAAACACCGATGGAGTTTGACTGGTAATTTGGATATCAAATCATAATTTTCATTTAGTAATCATTATTGATTCCGTAACTGTAGGTGAAGTTACAGAATCGATAATGTTTAAAGTCAGTTTTAATTATCGAGAATTCACCATAATTACATATTTAATAAAATTATATTTTGCATTATTATACACATATGTTTTATACTTACAATATGACTAGAGATCTGTTTCTCTTTTGTATTGATTTTGGAAAAATTGTTTTTTTTTTAGTTTTTAATAAAAATATTTATTTAAAATGATATTTATAAAAAGAATTTTATTTAGTGAGTGTAATTTTGAGATTTTCTTATGAATCTTTTTAATTTATACACAAATTTTTAATATTTTCACATTAAATCTACACTTTTTTTAATAACTCTAAATATGCAACTTAAAATTCAATTTTTTTTAAATATTTAATATACTGTTAGAACTAAATTATTTTTTTTTTAAAATGAATGGTAATTATAATTTAAAATTGCCTTAAAATTAAAAAAATCATATAAGTATAATTTATTTATATTTTAGAATATGTAAGTATGTTCAATTCAGAATAATTCTTAAATTCTTGTTACACAAAACAAATTTTTTCTTGAGCAAAATTAGTGAGAAATGTTATGTATGTAGGTATGTTTCATATGATTTATATGTATGTACATAGGCATATGCTTGTTTTATAATAATTTTTGTATAGGTATGTATGTATATACGCATTTACATATGTTTTATTTCAAGTTCTTATTTTATTAAAATCATAAAACACTTTTCCAATAATTATTTATGATAAATTTAATATTCACATGTAATTTTTATTTATTCACTTAACAAAATTATAAAAATTAAATTAATTTTTTATTAATTTTTTTACAAACATATATACTATGTATATATTCATGTATATGTACATACATACACACTTGTCTACAATATTCTATTCCTTTTTCCTTTATGATTTTAGAATGTGCGATCAAACACCAATTTTGTATTTTAAACGTGATTTGTTTTTCTTTTTAGCGCGAAATATTTTTAAATTAAATTTTTTGTGTTCTTTTTAAAGTTCTTAATTTGATTCTTACTTTTTGTTTTTATTCCAAAAGAGGATTTAACTGTATAACAAAAGTTCTAATCAGTTTTTAAATTCTTTAATTAAAAATCCTTTTTTCTTTTCTTTAAAAATAAAAAAAACCAAAAAAAAACGAAAAGATCGCAAAATTTTAAAACATCGAAAAAATAATTTAAAGAATATCACAAGAAATAAAATAAAAATAAAATTACCACCAAAAAATTTTATGAAACAACTTTGTTTTTGTGACTACAGACAATGATCATCAGCAACTGTAAAAATTTTCAAAAATTATTATAATATTTCTAAAGACATCAAAATGACAGCCTTATTATTACTAAAATAACAATACAATGAAAAAAATAACAACAAAATATTATATTTCGAGAACCAAAGTACAGAAAGAAAATACTCGCAATTTACAACTACCAAAATAAAATTTTAAACGAATGCAGATGTGTGCCGCTAAATCAACTCACACTTGTAAACATTAATATAAATAAAATAATTTTAACTTAGGGAGAATAACTTTATTTTTATTGTTTTTTTTTTTTTTTGTTTTTAAATACACATACCTACATAGTCTGTATTAATAAATTTTTAAATGTCAAAAATAAATATTCTTTAATTAAACACAATCATAAAATTTAAAGAAAGATCAGTTATATTCGATTTAATATCCGACTCACTATATTTTTGAAAATTTAATATGTGTGTGCAAAAGAATTATATTTTGTTTATAATAAATATACCCTATTCATATTTATTTAATTGTAAATGTGGTTGTGTTTATACCTGTAAAGTAAACAGATAGAAAGAGATAATGAATGATGTGTGATCTCATTAGTTTGAGAGCATCTGTTTTACTTGAATATGCGCAATAATTTTTGTCTTGCTTTATAAAAAAAAATAATACATACACATAGGTATACGTACATAAAAGATATACTTTTTGCTGTATGATACAAACTGCATATACTTATCGTGTTTAAAGTTTTTAAAAAAATGAACACATTTTTGTTTAGCGCAACTTAGTTTACACATTATTTGGAGAATAATTTGTCATATAAAGGCATACATACATATGTATGTAAATGTTGCCAGTAACAAAAATTTTGTTGTTCTAAGAATGAAAAAATAGAAAAAATTCAATTTTTTGAAATTAACTTTAAAATACTTGTATTTTCTGCTAACACTTTGGCTTTGATTAGAAAATAATTGACAAGCAATATAAACTATAACTTCTTCCAAAATTCTAGAAAAGGAAAACATAAAGGGCTTGTAATATATGTATGTATATACATAAATATGTACATTTATTGGCAGATATTGAATATACTTATAAAAACATTTTAACTTATTTAATAGTCGTCGAATTAAATTATGTCGTTAGTTTGATACTCGTATTATTTTTGCTCCAATGATAAAAATATGTAACAACTATTTTTTATCTAATATTGATGAGAAAAATTTTAGTAGAATATTGTTTTTTAAGAGGGATATTCGCATTCAATGGAAGTGTGCTACTTTGTGCTATATAATAGAAGCAATTACGCAAGCATCTTAACCATTTTTCACGGAAAAGGAAGTTTTGGGTAAAAAACTGTTTGGGGTTTTTAAAGATTTTCGTGACACTGTTTCTCACAAAACCGTTGAAATTTGACAACATTTTATAAAGACAAATATTATATTTTTCGACTAATTTTATTGTACTTTTTTCAAATCCATGTAATGTTTTTCACTCTTTTTGCTGTAATGTAAACTTATAGAGAGAGAGAGAGATGGAGAAATAGACTGTATGGGAAAATAACACAAGATAAAAACCTAAGATAAAGAACTGTCATGAATATTTAAAATTGTGCTCAAAATGAGCATAATTATTATGTTGCAACACTTTGTTATGAATTTGAATAAAGCATAAAAAAACTTGAATTTTTATAAACACTTATAATCACTTTAAGCACATGGTTAATATTTATGTCAGTTTTTAAATTCGTAGGTATCAGATTTTTATTTAAAAAACCTATATTTTTCAATCTTTAACGTAATCTGGCAACGCTTATTAGCGGTTTTAATTTTCAACAATATTTAATATCTTTTTGAAAAATTACTATGTCCAGAATATAAATTTACTTCTTTTATCACTTTATTATTGAGAAGTGAATAATCAAAATTGTAGTCTCAGTTATTAATTCAAGTAAGAAGCTTAATTTATAAAACAATCTTAGTTTGTAACCAGAATCAGTCTGCCAAGATCACATCTTAGTATTGAAAAAATAAAATCAAAAGTGATTTATCTACATGCACACATTTTTATGTAATTAAATAATATACACAAACATATATTAAGTATACTGAGACCAGAAGTAAGTATGTATAAGTAAGTACTAAAATACTATGAGAACTTTTACCTTTGTAATTTTTACCTTTAGAGAAAATGAGAAAACAGCATTGAGCAAACGTAATATTAAATATAATTTTTATTTGTATGTGAACGAAAATAAAAGTGAGTTAAAAACATAACTTGTTTGTTTGTGGCTCAATGTTTTACAAAATTTGATATCAAGTTTGGTAAAGAATGAAAGTTATATGTAATTATATACTAAACAAAACCAATTTGATCATACAATGTACAATCAAAAACGCACAAAATGTTATACCTATAGAATTTTTGTTTCTAAACATTTCTTCATTTGACATTCCTTCAAAAAAGGTATCGCAAATTTTTGTTAATCAAACCCGGAAAATATGCATACATACATATGTATGCATATATGTATGTATGTTGAATGTTGTTCGCCCAACAACACCAAAATTAAAGGAATCATACGTTAAAAACGCGGTCAGTCAAAGAAATCCAGTTACGTAATTTGACTCGAAAAACCTCATGCGAATCTTTAAAAAAGAACTTCGATAATTGCTTTTAGTGAACTTTTTAAATACCTCTAGTATTGCTATAATTTAAAATAATTTTATAAAAATTTTTATAATACTATGTGAAATGATATGCCGTGGGGGAGATTTGTTGTAAAAATTTAAGCATATGCCCAAAAAATAATAAACACTAGTTGTAATAAATCTAACAATTTATTAAAATTAAAAATTTCTAACGGAAATAAATTGGCGAAGCATTTAATAGCTATAAAAATTAAAAATTATAACTTCCATATGCGTAGAGTATAACATACACCTGCACATAGTATAACAAACAAATGTTGGAAATCAATTAAATTTAAGTAAATAAAGTAACAAAAATAATAAAAATTCTCTTACTTTTCCAAAACAAGAAATCCATGTAAATTTTAAACATACAAAAGTAGACTTCTGTAACATTAATTCTGTAGATACATACATGCGAAAATTTTTATAATGTCATAGATGTAAATTTGAATATGAGCACAATTAGTGTATTATAAACGAACCAAATGAATCGGTATAATAAAATGTAGGCAAAATGTTCTAACAGAATGAAAGCGGAAAATAAATTAAAAATTTTCTTCTCGTATGAGTTCCTCTTGTATTTTTGGAAGTTGAATTTGCGTTACCTTAGTAAAATGTAGAGAAATAGTTAATAAAATCTGAATATGTAGGTCAGAAGTAGTCAAAGACAAAAATATTGGGACTTGTTCGAAATATAAACTTTGAGATACAAAAACTAAAGTTCATTTTTTACCTCAAATTTAAGCTCGGACTAAAAATATTAAGAAGGAATAATAAGTTTTATCGGAAATTAATTTGACTCGGGATTATCATTTGGAATATGGTTCAAGAAAATGGTTTCTGTGGTTGCGGTGTAGAAAGTAGTTGAGACTTACTTATATTTTTGTAAAATAAATCTTCACAAATACTGTAGAAAAAGCTGTTTTTTTTTTCAAAGAGAACTGTAAAGTTCTTATTATTGTTCAATATTTTTTATTGCGTGAATTATAATTGCACATTCACAGAACACACATTTAAAATAAAAAATTGAGTAAATAAAATAAAAATATTTAATTTTACTTTTTTGATTTTTTGTATTTCTAATTTTTTTTCTAGAAAAGTTATTCAAATTTATAAAACTTACAATTTAAAAACAATATTTTAAAAAATATTTATATATGTAGGCTGTACATATAACAGAAATGTATTTATGTATGTATGTATGTATATTATTTTTTCTATTTTCATCCTATTTACCTACTTTTCAGATTATGAATTTATCTTTATTTTTATTAAATAATATTCGTTTCAAGAGTTTCAGTTCACCCAAATCTTCAAAAGTGAGAAAAATAAAAAATAACAAACAGAAAAATAGCAAAATGTAAACAAAAACAAATATTTTAATAATAAATTATTTTCTGGATAAAAATAAAATTATTACGTCCAGAAGAGAAAAAATTACGTTAATATAATATTTT